TGGCCATTATCTGCTCAAAAAACATCTCTGTTTACAAAAGAAGAACTGAGGCCCAGATGCAGCATAACTAGCTATGGGCCACTCCAGGCTTTAATGACTGAGCGTGGCCCAGAACCAGTTTCCTGGAACCCTTCTCCAACAGCCCGCCCCCTCTCCCTCCATCCCCCCATCCACATGACAGCAGTCCAGATTGGCTGCCGTCTCTGGACTGGCCGCCACCACAGCTGCTTTGACCAGCTTTCCTGTGATTGGCAGTTAAGCCAATCAGACAGGCTATGGCAGGCCATGGCCTATGCTGCTTGAAGTATGCTGGCTCTGGGTTCAAATCCAGCTCTGCACTTACTAGCTGTGAGGCCATCAGCAGGTTTCCTAACTATGTTCTGCCTTAGCTTCTTTGTCTGAAAAATGCCTACTTCCCAGGACTTAAGTAGCATTCTATATATATAAAAGCCTAAGTGACCGTTATGACTGGACAACCAGATGGTAGCTATGATGCGCACTGACCACCAGGGGGCAGACGCTCAGTGCAGGAGCTGCCCCCTGGTGGTCAGTGTGCTCCCACAGCCAACCTCCCTCAGCCGACCAACCTCCTATGGTCCCTCCCCCCAGCGATTGGCCCCAATCAGGACAGGGAGAGATGGCCACAATCAGTCCCTGATAGCCGGCCAGGCTGAGGGACCCCACCCGTGCATGAACTCATGCACCGGGCCTCTAGTGACATATAAAGCTCTTAGCACAGATTCAAGCACAAAATAAGAGTCCAAGAAGCATTAGTTATTTGTGGGTTATATTACTACTCTCAGTGCCTTTCAAAGAAGTTGCCCTGGATGCCCACCCACTGAACAAATTCTAATTGCCTCAGTTTGGCCACCGGGGCCTTGCAGCAACCGGGTCTATCAAATGTATGGAAACTTCCATTGCTTTCTGATCACAGCCTTCCAGTCAGAACAGCTCGCTATGTTCCCCCATATCATGCTCATTCCCAATTCTTACCTCTGTGTTTCAGTTTATACTCTCCCTACCTGAAATACCCACCTTCCTTCTCTCTAACTTCCCAGCTCCACTGATACTATTTCTTCTCTACAATATTGCAGTATGTATATGCAGCACGTATTGATCGCTTCCTTAAGGAGGGCATGGGAGCATTTAATTATACCATGGGTTCCAGAGCAGACTGCCTGATCTCTCATCCATAAAATGGTGTTAATATTAGGGTTGTTGTGAGGATTTGACAAATAAATACTTTGTAAAAACAATTATTGATATGCTATTATTATATATTGCTATTAACTTCCCCTCTTTTTAAAATGTATCTTCATTTTCTTTCTACAGGTTATTCTGTCCATATGTACTACAGCAGTCCCCCCTTACCCATGATTTTACTCTCCATGGTTTCAGTTATCCACAGTCAAATGTAGTTCCAAAATATTAAATGGAAAATTCCAGAAATAAACAATTCATAAGCTTTAAATTGCACACTGTTCTGAGTAGCATAATGAAATCTCACTCCATCCTGCCCAGGATGTGAATCATCCCTTTGTCCAGTGTATCTACCTTGTAATACGCTACTCGTCCATTAGTCACATAGTAGCTGTCTAGGTCATCAAATTGACTGTCATGGTATCACAGTGCCCCTATTTTACTTAATAATGGCCTCAAAGCACAAGAGTAGTGATGCTGGCAATTCAGATATGCCAAAGAGAAACCCTAAATTTCTTTCTTTAGGTAAAAAGGTAAAAGTTCTCTACTTAATAATAAAGGTAAAAAAAATCATATGCTGGGTTACTAAAATTTATAGTAAGAACACATCTTCTATCCATGAGATTGGGGAGAAGGAAAAAGAAACCCATGCTTGTTTTGCTGTTGCACCTCCAACTGCAAAAGTTATGGCTCCAGTGTGTGATAAGTGCTTAGTTAATATGGAAAAAAATATGAAATTTGTGGGTAGGAGATATGAACAAAAAGCATTTTCCAATTGACAGCAATGTGTTGCAGTAGAAAACATTGAGCCTATACCAACACGCCAGCAAGAGGCCCCCTAATATGAGTGACACTAAGCCATTTACTACAAGTAAGAGATAGTTATAATAAGATAGTTTAAGAGAGAAAGACCACATTCATATAACTTTTAGAACAGTATACTATTATAATTTTTCTATTTCATTGTTAGTTATTGTTTACTTTGCCTAAGTTATAAATTAAACTTTATCATAGGTATGTATGTATAGAAAAAATGTAGTATATAGGTAGGTTCAATACTGTCTCTGATTTCATGTATCCACTAGGTGTCTTGGAACAGATCCCCTGTGGATAAGGGGAATTACTCTATACTTTTATCCAGTCTTAAATCACATCCTATAGTATAAAGCTCAGTCCTGAGGATTTTGATGTCTGTCCTCAAAGATTTCACCACATCTAATAGTTCATTCTAAAAGTACAGGTTTACCGAAAATATCAAGTCCCCATCTCAGAGCCCTTGGGTGGTACAGAGTATAGGTAGCACGGTTATTAGCCAAGGGCCTCAAAGAGGAGAAAGACTGAAGCAAAACAAAGTTTCCAAAAAATATCTGGTCTATTTCTACAGGAAGTTAACAATGGAGTTGTGGAAGCTATTCTGGAGTTAGAACAGACAAGTGAAAAAGCACTGAGGGCAACTGGAATATTCTATTCACATATTCGTGAGACATGGGTGTTTGCACAGCTACTGCTCTACTTTATTCTGTATTCCATCCACGGGGTCCCACCATTCATCAGGAGCCGTGTTAGGTTTGGGCACTACAAACAAGAATTCTATACCAGGTAGGGGTACATCAAGCTAATACATTGACAAGGGCTGTTCTCAATGACACATACTCTGTCACAGTGCAGTGATCATGTGCTTTTTCTGTCTTTGGGGAATCAGTTATGTTTACCAAAAATAGCAACACATTTTATATGAGTGGAGAGAGTTGAACTTTTTCCAGCATTACTTCCAAAAATCAGGTAAGGTAAGAAATCACTCAGATTAATTAGACTAACTTACCTCTATTTTTTCCCATATGGCTTCATAGTTGTCTTGGTGTTGAATATCTTGCATTAGCCAATGGGAAGGGTAGCGGTCGTACGCTAATTACCATGTTTCTCTTTTATTAGTGTAGATTGCTATTAACTTCCCCTCTTTTTTAAATGTACCTTCATTTTCTTTCTACAGGTTTTTCTGTCCATATGTACTACAGCAGTCCCCCCTACCCACGATTTTACTCTCCATGGTTTCAGTTATCCACAGTCAAATGTAGTCCCAAAATATTAAATGGAAAATTCCAGAAATAAACAATTCATAAGCTTTAAATTGCACACTGTTCTGAGTAGCATAATGAAATCTCACTCCATCCTGCCCAGGATGTGAATCATCCCTTTGTCCAGTGTATCTACCTTGTAATACGCTACTCGTCCATTAGTCACATAGTAGCTGTCTAGGTCATCAAATTGACTGTCATGGTATCACAGTGCCCCTATTTTACTTAATAATGGCCCCAAAGCACAAGAGTAGTGATGCTGGCAATTCAGATATGCCAAAGAGAAACCCTAAATTTCTTTCTTTAGGTAAAAAGGTAAAAGTTCTCTACTTAATAATAAAGGTAGAAAAATCATATGCTGGGTTACTAAAATTTATAGTAAGAACACATCTTCTATCCATGAGATTGGGGAGAAGGAAAAAGAAACCCATGCTTGTTTTGCTGTTGCACCTCCAACTGCAAAAGTTATGGCTCCAGTATGTTAAGTGCTTAGTTAAGATGGAAAAAAAATATGAAATTTGTGGGTAGGAGATATGAACAAAAAGCATTTTCCAATTGACAGCAATGTGTTGCAGTAGAAAACATTGAGCCTATACCAACACGCCAGCAAGAGGCCCCCTAATATGAGTGACACTAAGCCATTTACTACAAGTAAGAGATAGTTATAATAAGATAGTTTAAGAGAGAAAGACCACATTCATATAAGTTGAGCCTATACCAACACCCCAGCAAGAGACCCCCTAATATGAGTGACACTAAGCCATTTACTGCAAGTAAGAGATTGTTATAAGATAGTTTAAGAGAGAAAGACCACATTCATATAACTTTTAGAACAGTATACTATTATAATTTTTCTATTTCATTGTTAGTTATTGTTTACTTTGCCTAAGTTATAAATTAAACTTTATCATAGGTATGTATGTATGTATAGAAAAAATGTAGTATATAGGTAGGTTCAATACTGTCTCTGATTTCATGTATCCACTAGGTGTCTTGGAACAGATCCCCTGTGGATAAGGGGAATTACTCTATACTTTTATCCAGTCTTAAATCACATCCTATAGTATAAAGCTCAGTCCTGAGGATTTTGATGTCTGTCCTCAAAGATTTCACCACATCTAATAGTTCATTCTAAAAGTACAGGTTTACCGAAAATATCAAGTCCCCATCTCAGAGCCCTTGGGTGGTACAGAGTATAGGTAGCACGGTTATTAGCCAAGGGCCTCAAAGAGGAGAAAGACTGAAGCAAAACAAAGTTTCCAAAAAATATCTGGTCTATTTCTACAGGAAGTTAACAATGGAGTTGTGGAAGCTATTCTGGAGTTAGAACAGACAAGTGAAAAAGCACTGAGGGCAACTGGAATATTCTATTCACATATTCGTGAGACATGGGTGTTTGCACAGCTACTGCTCTACTTTATTCTGTATTCCATCCACGGGGTCCCACCATTCATCAGGAGCCGTGTTAGGTTTGGGCACTACAAACAAGAATTCTATACCAGGTAGGGGTACATCAAGCTAATACATTGACAAGGGCTGTTCTCAATGACACATACTCTGTCACAGTGCAGTGATCATGTGCTTTTTCTGTCTTTGGGGAATCAGTTATGTTTACCAAAAATAGCAACACATTTTATATGAGTGGAGAGAGTTGAACTTTTTCCAGCATTACTTCCAAAAATCAGGTAAGGTAAGAAATCACTCAGATTAATTAGACTAACTTACCTCTATTTTTTCCCATATGGCTTCATAGTTGTCTTGGTGTTGAATATCTTGCATAAGTTTCTGAATTAAAGCAGATTTTTTGGCAGAATGGCTCTCATTTTTCTCAGAAGACGAAGCTCTCTCTGACTTCTCATCCGTGTATTTTTTCATGCCAGAGAGAGGCATACACAGCTCCTCATCAGAAAGAATGTCACTCAGGGGCCCAGACTCAATGCTCTCCCCCAGCGAAGAGGCTATGTCACTGGATGAACTGGGAGACGCCCTGCCTAGCCTTGTACGCTTCTTCTTGACATGGTACGTTGGATAGATCTCAGAATCTGAATTCATTTCAGACAGTTCCCAGTCATCGATATTCTGAATGGTTTCTCCTCTGGGTTTTGGAGGCAGCAGCTTCGTTAAGTTTTCCAACTTCAAAGCTAATACTTCTGTCTGCTTAAGGTGAGAGGGCAGTGCCAGGTACTCGTCGGAGCCATACCAAGCCTCCACAACCTGACCATTCCTTGAGACGTGACTTGGGGAGGAGGAGTAACTTTTTTTGCTTTTGTGTTTTGAAAGAAGGGGTACCGGAGACATGAGACTGTCCGAGCCAACAGGAGATCCGCTGCTTTGAGTAAACGGTGGGGAACTGGATGTTTCTGACTGTGCTGGTAATTTGGCATTCCAACTGCTCTGAGGATACGGCTCAAGGGAGGATGTAGAAGCAGAATCGGTTTCTGGCCCCTCCACGGCCTTGGAAGTACAAGAGGGAATTCCGTTCGGCACTCTGGAGCTCCTGGTGATTTCGGTTTGCTTGCCGGAACCAGTTCCCGCTTTAGGGGTTTGGCACGGAGGCACCTCTTCTGGGCTCTTATGTGGCTTTTTAAGTCGAGGTTTCTCTTTGTGGCAGTTGTTGAGCCTTCCCAGGCTGGAGGAGATTTCTTTAATGTGACTTTTGACTGTGTTTTCAAGATTCCCGCCCCCCATCTTGTGCAGACACTCGTAGGACTGGCTGGCGGCCGAAGGGCTGCTGGGGTAGGACGCCTGCAACACCAGGCAGAGCTTGGATCTGTCAGGAGGATCCACCAGGGAAGGGGTGCTTCTGCTCATCTCGGGCTTGAGATCAACCATCGGCCTCTTTCCGTCAGCACCTCTCAGGTTATTCTTAAAAGCGTCCTCTTTAAGGAAAAGCCCTCTTTTTGGCAATGTGGGCTGTGTGGGGGAGTCCTCGTTATAATTAAAGCAATCTCTGATGGATCGCTTGGGGGTTGTGTTCTCACAGGGAAGAGGCTGTTGGTTCTTTGCTCCAGGTTGGGAGGGAGAATTGGATTCTTGCTTCGAGGTCTTAGCAAAGGACTGGGCAGTATTTGTCAGAGCTTCCACTGGAGATGACATGCCCTGCTTTGAGCCTGGTTGCTCCTCGACTGCGGGAGCCTTGTTTTCTTCACACCCACCTTTTTCATCTGCTGAGAGAGAACCTTGAGATGCCCCCTCACTCACTGCTTCGCTGCAGTTGGAAGCGATGGGGTCAGTGGCCACCGTCAGTAATCCCACACTTCGGATAAGCTCAGGGAACTCCTTCTCCATCTCACCGTAGCTCCAAGAGTCAAAGGGTTTGCTTTTGACCTGGCTCAGGTCACCCAGGCCCCCGAGCAAATCCTCACTTGGACTATAGTCAGACAGTTCAAATGCAGTAATTCCACAATCCAGAGACAAGTAATTTTGAGAGCATTTGATAGTTAGCTGTCCTGAGTCATCCACTTCCGTTAGAGAATCGAGCCGGCCCTGAAACAGACAACGGCAGTGGTTTCAGTAAATGGAACATCAATTAAACACTCAACTGCTGTTCAAATGAAATCTCAGCAGAGGCTGCTAAGAAGGTCAAAATGCATCAGTCTCCGTTGCTTCTGGTTTGGCATACAGAATGGCATATTAATCAATTATCACATTACTTTATATAATATCCTGTTCTTAAATATTCAAAGATTTTTCTTTAATCTAGAGAATAAAGCTTCGATAGAAATGGTCAAGGTCAACCCCAAAATATCCATTCTTGCCTTAATGTTCTATCTTAAAATATTGCATTGTTCAGTTAATAAACATTTTTTAAATGATGTAATAAAATTTCTGGGAACAAATCAATGTAGGAATAACATCTCCATGAGTGTCTCTTTTGCTTATTGCTATCACTCCATCACCTACCACAACTGGCTAACTCATAGTAGATGCTCAATAAGTATTTCTAAAGTGTACTAAGTCTGTCATGTGAAATATATATTCACAAATCCCAGGAAGGTGAAACATGAATTTGCATATAACAAAAGCAGTTCATGACTACCTTCTATTTCTCCCCACCCTTTCTAAGGTAAACACCCAAACTCCTGGAGAAAATTATTCAGTATCAAAACTTTATCATCTTAGTTCCCATCACTCTGCATGCATTTCTCCCCTCACCTCCTCACCCCCACCCCTGCTCCCATTTGTTTATATTAGATACCACCTCCACTGTTATTTATAATTTGGAGTAGGCCAGTTTGAAACTTCTCTATGCTAAAAAATAGTAGTACAAGCAAGTATTTTAAATTTTTTAATCTGTAATTATGCAATTAAGGTTTTTGTCTCATTACTAATGCAGTTTCTGGCATCACACAGCCAACAATTTTTCACTGATTTGTTCGGGATGAAAGGAATCCCATTATGTGAACCAGGCTGAAGGACAGCCTGGTCTAATCTAGTCCCTTAGGAGATGAAGGATGGATGGAAACGAAACTGTTACATCCACAGACCTCCGTTCTCCTGAAGGAGAAACCAGGTGAGCAAACTGAAGCTGGACCTCATGTAGCTGCTGCACCCTGTGTCCCTTCAACCAAGTTACCCCGAGTTCTGACCTCTCTATAGGTTTTTCTGTTCATTTGCTTGCTGTGTTTTGGCAATGTTTTCTTCCTTCAGACCTTCAACTTACTTTTATCTCCTACTCCCCTCACTCTCACTCTGTATCATCCAGATAAATAATAATGATGAAAGGCTTCATTTCACCTTTCTAAACCTCAGTTTCCTCCTCTCTAAATGGGGATGGTTGATTACTACTATTTCTTTTTCATTTAAATCTCCCAACAACTTTCTTCCAGTGTTGGGTCTATATTATTGTTTTATATAACCAGAGCCTGAGCCAAAAGAAGGTGCATAACTAGCAAATGTCCATACTCTGACCTTGGTACCATAATTTTCTGTGGTTCATTAGGTATTATTTTAAATGGACATACCCCCTACTCCAGTTTGTTCTCCACATTGCCACCAATTACAAACTGTTAATTCTCTGCTTAAAGTTCTTTATTAGTGTCCTCCTTTGGTACCATAATTTTCTGTGGTTCATTAGATATTGTTTTAAACGGACATACCCCCTACTCCAGTTTGTTCTCCACATTCCCACCAGAGTAAGCTTTACAAATCTGTTACTGTTAATTCTCTGCTTAAAGTTCTTTATTAGTGTCCTGCTAAGTAAACCCAAACCCTTCCAAAAACAAACATGGCTTCACTGGACCACAGTGTCTGCCTGCCTCGGGCCTTTGCACATGCTATTTCCTCTGTCAGGAAAGTTTCCCACCTAACCCTAACCCTGTAACTTATGGATTCTTACCCCCTCAGACCTCAGATTAAGTTATATTTCTTCAAAATTCCAAACCCTCACCTAAGTCAGAATCTTTCCTTAGAGACTCTTGTAAAACTATGTTGTTTTTCCTTTAAGAATTTGTCTCAATCTTTAAATAAATACTCTGTGGTTATTTCATTACCTTGTTTCTCCCACTAGTGTGTATGCACCACAACAGTATAAATCACATAGAAAATAGCTGACTCACCAGGATACCCGCAACACTTAGCATAGTGATCTGCATAGAACAAGCACTCAAGACATATCTGTTGAATAAAATTTCAGGGTGGGGGACCTTTTTTCTGCCAAGGGCCATTTGGATATTTATAACATCATTCAAGGGCCATATCAAATTATCAACTTAAAAATTAGCCTGCTATATTTAGTCAAACATTTAATTAACTCACTGCTAACGCCTTGGCAGGGCCAAACCAAATGATTTCGCGGGCCTTCTAAGGCCTAGAGGCTGGATGTTCCCCACCCCTGCAATACATGAATGAATGATGACATTTTGGAATGTATCTCTACGCCTTCATGTAACTTCTTCCTCTGATTATGTAGTTTCAGTTGACTCCAGTGATGAAAAGCCCAAGCTTCAGAGTCAAATTCTACCTCTAGCACTAGTTAGTCATGTGACCATGACCCAGTAACTTGATGTTGCTAAGCCTCATTTCCTTCATCTGTAAAAAGGGAATAATGAAAAGCCATGTCATAGCGCTGTTGTGAGAGTCAAAAGAGGTAATATATGTAAAACACAAGTCTGACACATGGATAGGTATTTAATGAATGTTCACTCATATTATTATTTTACTATTCAAGTATATTTAGGAAGAAACTTTTGTCAAAATGAGAGAGATCCTTATGGCAATTATACTGCACAAAGTGAGAAAACAGTATTAACTGCCAAAATGATCTAAATGGAATTGTGTGGCTATAATGCTGCATACCTGGACCAGGATCTTTAAATAACAAAGTCAGAAGCCAAAAATCACCAAGGAATGAGACAGCCAAATAAAGTCACACTTTATACAATTTTTAAAGAAAGTACCGTATTTTTCCGTGTATAAGACGCCCCCCAGTTTTCCAACCCCAAATTAAGAAATCAATATTTTAAACATTTTGCTGGTTTTCCTTTTAAGGCCTTCTTTTTTGGCATCTTAAGGAGTTGTTCTTCCTGTTTTCTCCACTGTATGATCATACACTAAGTAGAAGGAGGAGGTCCAAATTGTCTCCCTGCAGCTCTATTTCCATGCTCTTTTGCATAGCTGGTTACATTCAGTTTGAATCGCTTACCAGTATTTATCTTTTTATTTTTTGACATCTTTATGGGCTCAGAATGCTCTGGTCCCTGTTGCATCTGTGCACTCTCTACCTCCACCTCCAATTACGGCATCAGCTGACGTCAGTAACAATAAGGCTCATGATTGGAGAAAGCCTGTTTGACAAGATATGGGCAGCTACACACCCGCTAGGCTTCCTCCTCGGCTGACTTCTGTGTATAAGACGCCCCTCGATTTTCAGTCTAATGATTTTAGAAAAAAATAACGTCTTGTACATGAAAAAATACGGTAATGTTGGGGATTCCAATTTAAAGGAAGGTTGTGTTTTTATTTTTTTAATTTAGTGGCTTAGTATTCAGAAATTACTCCTTTTTGAAAATGTATTATAGCCGAGATGGACGGCATGGCTCAGTGGGGGTTGAGCATCGACCCATGAACCAGGAGGTCATGGTTTGATTCCCGATCAGGGCACATGCCTGAGTTGTGAGCTCGATCCCCAGTGTGAGGCATGCAGGAGGCAGCTGATCAATGATCCTCTCTCATCATTGATGTTTCTGTCTCTCTCCCTCTCCCCTCCTCTCTGAAATCAATAAAAATATATTTTTAAAAGTGTATTATAAGTGATGGGTAAGTTCCAAGCTATCCCATTAGTTGATATTTAAATTACTAACTAGTTGAAATTTGCATTATTTTCTACCCGATTTCTCATAAAGGCGCAGCACTATGGCTACTTGAGTGAGGTTAGAGAAGCATTAAGAAAAAGTGTTTCTATGATGGGTAGAGAAATAGGAATTTGAGAGTTCGGGTAAAACTTAGACACTGAAAGTGTCAGCCACCTGTTTCTGGACAGGCTTGGGACACAGTAGCCCTGGGAAAGCTTTGGTCCCCATTTTCATGGTCATAGAACCTAAAGATCAGGCATACTGTCTAGCTAGAAAATAAGGGGCACTCATGAGACTACATATCAGAGAATAGGGTATGGCTCCCTTTTCCTAGGTCTTCCCCTGAAGACCCCTTCCCTACCCAGTCCTTTGTTTGGAAAACAAAATACTGCACTCAAAAACACTAATGCTCCAAGGTAAACCCTCTCCCATCCTGTTCCCGCCCAGGCCAACTATTTCTGTGCATGGTGGATTGTCACTCATGGGTAACTATTTTTAATTCAGACTGCATTTTTAATGTGAAAAAAATCCCTCCCTGAAAAACAAAACAAACAAAAAAACAGCACATGGCATATCTATTTCATATCCTAAAGACCAAGTGACAACCATCTACCTATATTTATTTAACCCAGTTGGTTATTAAAGAGCATTTTTCAAAAGTATTGTTACAGATTTCATCATGCAGAAGCAATTTTTTTAAAAAACAAAGTTCTCAGAAGTTTCTGAGAGCAGATCAATAATTAATAAGTTTCATCTCTTAAAATATTGCTTAGTTATACCAAAGTATGTAGTCCTATTGCTTTCTTCTGGACCACATTCCCAGATAGTTTTCTAAAGCATGTAAGTAATGAAGTTTCAGGTGGATATGGAGGTAGGGTAACAGTGCCCATTGCTTTTACTATCCTTTTTTATTTCAGAAATATCGCATATAATTGTGTAGTGTCATTAGCTTGCCATGGCTGCCTAGCAATGTCTAAATTCAAATATACCTCCATTTAATATGTCATGAAGCAGTTTCTCGGATGAAGGTTATGTTTTATGCAGACAGTAACTTATTCACTTTATTGATGGGTAATTTATTCACTTTATTGTTGTTAATAATTAGCACTACCTGTGTGACTTTATCTCTCTCAATCTCAGTCCTCTCATCTGTAAGATGGATGCAATAATATCACCTACTAAATAAGAATAACA